CAAGGAACCGAGTTGTTCCAAGAAGAAATGTTTTGTGCAAACCAAGAGTCAGGAGCAGCAGAAAGTGGGGGAACTAGCAGAGCCCGGACTGTGGCCATCACCCTTTCCCCCTCATCCTCACTCTGCCCATTCCCCCTCATGTGCCCCCCCTACTCCTGAGGCCTCAAACCCACACTGTGCCTTCCCCGAAAGCCCCCATCCCACACCGCCTGCTCCCCTCCCCGCTCCCATATAGCTCCAAAATGCTGGGTCTCACAGTGTGCCATAGCGTCACTGGCCCCACCAGATCTGGCCCCCCAAAGCCTCTCACACCACCCACGAGCTCTGCTGAATACCATCTTCTCACACTACCCCGCCTGCTCCCACCAGTTCCTGAGTTTACCCCCCTCAAAACTGGGTTTACTCATATCTTGCTGCTCTTTCTTTCAGTGTCACACGAATGCCCACATACTGTGTTCCTGTCCCCTTCAACAATTAAATACCCTACTTCCCTCAGAATATAACCATCTTTTAATTTTAACTCTCATTATTGCCAACACAGAGAAGAAATAAATTCTTGTTTTGCCTGGATTTCTAGTAAATCACCTCAAAGACACAGCACTCATAACTTAAGGAAACAGAGCAAATTAAAGGATGAGAGTTGGGCCTGCAACTTAAATACAAGTTCCCTAAAAAGCAATCTATTATTTAATTTTACTGAAATGTGGACCTAAGAAGCACATGGCATCAATAACAAGTCCTTCCCTATAGGAATTGAAACTCCTTGGGGAATTGATCAAGAAAACACACTCCAAATATATAACTGCTATCAAAAGTTCTCATATCTTGTCACTTACAATCAAGATCAAGAGAGAATATAAAGAGGCTGGAATTCAACCTTAACTGTACTTGAATTCATGAAGCTTTATTTTTCTGGGCCTCCTGTAGGGTCAGAAACTGCAAGTATCTTCTTCTGAATGTAGATCTATTGAAGTCACTGGGACACAGGTGTCCCTCCTTATGGCTCAGTGTCCATGGCTGGGATCTAATAAATTGCATTTCTGATTATAGCTTTCAGCAATTACTCACCCTATGAACTTTATGTTAGTACAGATGAGATATAAATGTTTTCAATGTTGTTTCTGAAAGCAAAATTACACACAGCCTTTGATGTGGTATTGAAAACAATATTTTCCTTCCTTCAGTAGAACTTAAACCATTTTTGTTTCAGGTCAGGGAAAGTACTTGCTGAAAACCAGTGCTGGCAACTGTTCAACTCAATATTGTACAAAAGGTTTTAATTTTTAGGCTAGCAGGGGGTCCATTCAAAGTCTTAGAATGATATTTTAGATCATAAATTGCAGACCTTTAACCCCCAGATATGTGACCTAACAGAACAGTTTTTGATACCTTTTACAGGCCCCAGTGGAAGTACATAACAAATAAGTGAAGTTAAAAGATTGAAATAACATAGGCGTCTGTTCTTTAAAAGAATTAAGTTTTCTCCAACCTCAGACTCAAGGTTTTGCTTTTCTAGTGACAACGAAATTTACAAGAAAAAGTGGTGAGACAAGTGGGGTTTGCTGAGATGGAGGTAAACTTGCATTTTAAACCTTGTAAAGGACAGTGTTGTTTATTTTGTTTTGCAGTAGTGCTCCAAACATGCTAGGTGCTGTACATAATATCACCAGAGATCTTACAGCTGACACTTATGTACTTTTGGGGGAAAGTGTAATTTTTCATTTGAATATATATCTTGACATCATTTAGTGTTTGTAAAAGATACATATTGACAGCACTGAATACTGCACTCCTATTTGTTTATATCCACAAAACATTGAAGCACAGACTGGAGCCCTTCATCACTATAAAGTTTTATTCTAGCACGCAGTGGTTATTGTAGTGAGACTACATTGATAGCCATCTAAAGTCACTGTTTTTTAAATCTATAGATGTTACAACAAAATCTTTTTTTCCAACTAACAGGTTTATAATTTTCAATTTGTTTTTCATCAAAGAAGTTGTAAGTATAAATGACTGTAAATTGCTTCAAAACTTTATAGTTAGCATCCTGGCTGCATTTTGGGGGGAAGCGAGTTGGGGAGGGCTGTGGAGAAATGTCACCACCGCCACCACAACAACAAAAAAAGACTCATTAATATGTTATCATTTCATAAAAACAGAATCCCAACACAGAGCTGAATGAAATCACCGGTAGCACTTCCCAGTGCCCTAAAGTAAATGTGGATGTAAGTATATGTTTCAAGTTACAGTTACAGGATTTAATGTGGTATCCTATAAATCTCTTTTTTGGAGGGGGGGTTGAAATTTAAAGAATAATAATGTAGTCTGGAATAGGGGAGGGGGAAGTGCTGTGTACCACTAGGCTTTGATCCTGGGGTTATTTTGGATAGATGGCAGTCTGCTAGCTAGCAGTTAGGGCTGGCACTAGGGGGCTTAGGGAGCCAGGATGTACCCTGGCCCCAGTCTCCATAGCCACTGTGAACAACTGAAACAGCCGCCTGCCACATGGTGACTGCTGGAGCTGAAGCCAGATATTTGTGGAGGCCTGGTAATATTATATTTACATATTCATTATCTGCATAATAAATATTCAAATATGCAGATAAAATGTTGCTACTCCACCAAAAGTTTGTGAATGAGTTTTCTGGTCTGCGATATAAAAAAGGTTGGGAACCACTGTGCTAGGGAACAGTTTTCTCCTGGTTCGAGACTCTGCCATCACTTTATTCTGTGTAGTCTCTTACCCTGACACCTACCTTCAACTACCTCCCACTGTATCCTGTTAAGGAACAGACATCCATGTATTCAGCTCCTCCTATAGAAAACTTAGGGCTTGTCTCCATTTATGCTGTGGAGATCGATCTCTCGGGGTTTGATTTAGCAAGTCTAGTAAGGGCCCACTAAACTGCCTGGCCCTGCACTTCAGAAGGATGTGCAGTTTAGGGCAGCTTGGAAGAGTAGCTAGAGGACTAACACCAGCAGCAGTGAGTGACCCAGCCCGCCCCATTTGGCCTTTCCCCTCTGGTGTCATGCAAGGGATGGGGCAGAACCTGGAAAGAGGTTGGGTGGACCTGGGATTTGGTGGGGGAGGAGGTAAAATGGGGGCAGAGCAGGGATAGAAATAAGTACAGCAGGTGCAGAGTCTTGTAAGAAGCGGTGAAGTACAGGTGCATTGGGGATGGGTCACTAACTGCTCCCAGTGCCAGGCCCCCTGGTAATCCATAGACTCCTCAGAACCCCACATTCCCCTGAAGTGCGGGGCTGGGCGGTTGCCTGGTCTGTCCTATGGACAGGATGGCTCTGAAAATATAAACCAAGCACTGATGGAGCTTGGCCCATGTTCCTGAATATTGGTGGAGCACAGGCACCACAGGCCCATATAATTAGTCTCCTGTGCTCAGTGGTGCAGGAGCCAAATTAGCAATCAGCATCACCCAAAAGTGCCACAGTAGTGTAACTTCATTGTTTCATTTACTATTTTTATAGGTGTATATATTAGTCACACAGAACATATTATTATTTTACCAACTACAACTGATTAATAATATATTAAAAGCATCCTGACTGATTAATGACTTAAGACTGGTTAATAATTAAATTGCAGAGTGTTTTAATACTATATGCTGCAAAGAGCTGCAGGGGAGACATTAAAGAGCCACTTGTAGCCACTCTGGCTACATCTACATTGGCATGATCTTGCGCAAATACTCTTTAACGCAAGAGGGGACTGGACAAGATGACCTCTCGAGGTCCCTTCCAGTCCTAGTATCTTATGATTCTGACCTAGGCCATTTTGACAGGCTCTTGTCTAACCTGTTCTTTAAAACTTCTCACTTGTATTTAAATCAGTTCTCCGTGCACAGTTTTATTCAAATCATTTATCAAAGTTAAAATTAGTGTACAGAGACAGAAAACAAAAAAAGAAATTGTTTAATGGCCATGGAAGTTCTGGGTCAGCAGCTCTTTTTGCTGCTAGCACAGAATTGTCAAAGTACTATTGCAGCTGTATTGAAGGGCTAGATTGCACTCATCCACTTATACAAAAGGGAGGAGACAGACAGAAAAATGGAAAACAGTATAGAGCTTAAAAACATTAAGCTGTACACAAAGCCTAAAAGTACATCAAACTCTTTATGTTGCAATTGAGTCATTACTGTAAAAGGCAATAAAAAGTACACTACCTAAAAAAGAGGTTCTCAATTTTTTTTCAGTCTTAAAATAGATTTTCTTGTGGACTTTCTCCCATTCCATTAATGACTTGTGTATTACTTTGTCTATTCTTGATCCAGTAAACTCTTTTTGGCAATTATCACAATTGTCTGTGGCAAAATAGATAATGTGATTTAGAAACTAGAAGTCAGGGAGTAGCCAGTTCATTGAAAACTAGCAAATGACCTGTGTGTAGTACATCTGCCACAATTTGAGTATCAGTGGCCTAAGAAATTATGTTTAAAAAATAAAGTCTAGTTGATTTCATCTGTTTTATTTGTAGAAATTGCAAATGGAGCAGGAGTTAAGCTTCAGGAAGCTAGTAGAGAGTTCAGAGTGTCCAGAGCAACTGAAATATGACTTCAACAAAAATGGGGAACTGAAGCATCTAGATACCAATGAACCCTTTGTCTTTAATTATTATAAAAATGCACATGAGCGAAATCATAAACGCTATCAAATTCTGGGGCATCTCATTACACGGTATGTTTATGAACTCCTGGAAAGAGTCTGCAAGCTGCAGAAAGTCAACATCCCAACCGATGCTTCAGAAGATGAACCTAGAAGTTTTTTTTTCATGAGCGAAAAAGCATTAACTAATTCCACGAGCCTAATTGTGCTCCTACAAGACCGTGGAGTCTTTCGGGCTGGTCAGTGGGGGCAGAAGACCATAATCCATGAGGGCCTGGACCAAGGAACTCAACTACCATTCATTAAAGTGGCCCTTCAGTGCTATGGAGGAGTTATTGTTTTAAATCCCAATGACAATTTCATTGATCTGAAGATAGAAGAGGAGTGGTTAAGCTTATCCATCAAGGAAGAATCTTCCTCTGTAAAGTCCTCCTGGTGGATCCCGAAGAGGTGCAGCAGTAGCCCCGAAGAGCACACCATTTACGTTTGGGATCATTTTATTTCAAAGAGTGCAGCCAAGAATGTGGCCTTTATTGCCCATGGATATGGAGGCTTGGTTTTCATCAACCTGCTCATGCAAAGAACATGGGAAGTGATGAGTAAAGTGTATTCTGTAGCATTTATTGACTCCATGCACCACACATTACACCAGGCAAGAGATAATCCACAAGTGCAAGAATGGATACAGAAACATTGCCGTGAATGGATAACAAACAGTAAACCTCTAGATAGGCCCACAGGTTGCCTTGTAAAAGTGGACTGTCCTACAGTCTCTGCTGGGACTGAAAAATACATTTTAGCACCATCCTCTGCCTTACAGGCCATTTTCAAGTACCTGAAGAGCATGCTGAAAGCTAAGAATGCAATAGCTTTTTCTCGTTCTCCTATTATAACAAGAAGCAGCACAAATAAGAAGAATGGCAATACATAAAAATGCTGAAGTATTTTTTAGGACTGTTTTCCCTCTTCAAAACCACTACCTGGAAGCTTGAAACTGAAGCAGCTATGTTATTTTCCTTGCATTGCTCAATTATTTATGGCCATAAGGCTGGTTTTGGGTTTCCAATTTTTATTGCTGTTGACAAACCAATCAGGAGAACACAAAGTTATCACTAAACATTAGAAAAGTTTTCATTTTGAAAGCTAATTCTTGCAGTTTAAAAAAAACGCATGTGAGCTTTAAAACTGAGCTCATGTTATTCCTGCAGTTTAAAATGGTACATAGTCAAAGTGTTAAGTCACAAATTACAATCTATGCTAGGGATGTAAATGAGTAGTTGAGTATACGATTAACCAATAAGTCTACACTTATCAGTTAATCTTCTTAATTACTTGCATTTCTCCCACTCCCTGCTGTATCAGAGGCAGCAAGTGGGGGGGAGGGGAGCAGGAGTCAGTGCTCCCCCCAGCACCAGCTATGTGGTGTCACCTCCCCTTCATCTCCCCCCCACCCACCCCTGAGACACCAGCGCAGGAGGGGGTACCAAGGGAGGCTCCCATAAAGTATGTGCTTCGCAGCAGCAGCAGCAGCCGCCCCTATCCATGGGAGTGCAAGGTTGGACGTGCCATGGACAGAGGCTGGGGTCCCTAGCAGCGGTCCATGGCCAGGCCGGATTGCTGCAGGCAGAGACTGCTTTGAGGCAGCCTTCTCCTGCTCTCCTCCCCTGTGCAGCAGCCTCTGTCCATGGCAAGCTCAGGCAGCCTGAGAACAGGAGTTGCTGCCATTGTATCAGAAGCAGCAGTGCAGGATGGAAGGGGACTTCCTGGGAGTGGGGCTGGGTTGAACTGGCTGTGGGCCCTGTACCTGGGGACTTCAGAATTGTCAAGAAACAGCCAAGATTTCATGCCATTACTCAACTATACAGTTGCTTGATAGGATAAATTTGATCCTCTGTATTATACATAGACTAGAAATGTTACCTAAGTGTCACTTCATTGAAACCAGAGAGACTATTCTAGTAATTAATTTGGCCTTATTTAACAACTTTTCAGACTGAATGATTGCTGTGAAAATAGTGTGGTGTAGTTACCTCAATTAACTCAAATTTTAAAAAAACAACACTTTACCTAGAAAGCAAACTGATCAATTGTTTGCATTCTGTTCCTATTAAGAATAATATTAAGTGATCAGAAAGCAGAACACATCCATGCTTTAATGTAATTTGTTCAGTCACCAATGCCACTTGGAAAGCACCATATTATAACCATCAGGTATACTGTGCATTTCAAAAATCACTTGTGTTGAATACAAATAAATGTTCTATTTACAAGAACATGACAAAATGTCTGTCTTCTAAGGATGACCAATATGATCTTAAAGATGAATTCACTAGTTTTGCTCATATCAAATCAATATTTTAAATTCCTTGGTAGAGAAGGTCGTATTTGGGAACATTCTTGGGATCAATAGGACTTCGTACTATGAGCTTTCCACGCATTGCTCCACGGTAAAGCACTTCAATCAAATCTATGAAGTCTTGCTTTGTTTTAAAGCTTCCCACAAATTTAGTGTGATCTGGAGACCTATGTAATAGATAAAGACAGTATTACTGTAAATGCTCATTAAACTTTTTAAAGACACAAATCTTATACAACACAAAGAAAATTTTGATTTACTCCTTATTGCAAGAACCACTTTGGTATGGTATATGAAAAGTCAAAAGAAAAGGCAATATAGGAGTTACTGAGACCAGGCCCCTAAAACCTAGAAAAATGCTATGTGACCAAAAATTTAACATGGAGAACAGATTCTAGCATGACATTATACTGCATATAATCTGTGAAATGTATCAAACAGGTTTTTTTACACAGTACAAAATGAGAGGGTATTTCAAAATGAAAGGCACAGTTCAGCATCTTGACTCATTTATTACTTGGTATTCTCTCTTTTAATATTCATGCAATCACTGGCAAAGGAAAATATAATTTTCTCAAGCCAGCTCATAAGTATACACAGGTAGAGACTATGCTAATGATGGCAAACAAGAGAATGTCAGGTAAAGTCACGTACCCATAATCCACTTTCATGTGTTGTCCATTGAAGAAAAAGACAGTTGATGGAATATAACTGATGTCAAAATACTGGGTGTACACTGGCACCTTGTTCACATCCACCAAGTAAATGGCTGCCATTTTACTTAGGTCATGAGATGTCTTTGCAAGCTTTAGAAATTAAGAAAAACATGATAAATCAGATTTTAACATGAGTAGGAAAAATATGCCAAGTATAAAAGCACAGCTGTAATTGCTAACCTTTTTTTTTAATTAAGGGAAGAGTCAGAATTAGTGAAAGACAGATCTTTATCTTTAAATTTTTTATTTTATAACTAATTCATAATTGGGTTACTGCTTTTATTTTTTTCCCCAATATCCTGTTTTGGTCACTGAAAGGAAGCAAAGACCTCTGTCATGGCAATTAATTATCAGTTGGAAAAATGCTTGTCATGCAAAAACATCATGGATATTTTAACATTACTGAGTTTTAAATATAATTATTAGTCCATCTTTTTTCAAATGTAAGCAGCATTGACTACTGTTCTTAACATGAGACCTACTGTATATGTAATTTAATTCTATGGCACCAAATGTGTATGTAAAGATTAGCATAGCATCAATGAAAGGTTTTTAAAAATTGCTCTTACAATATCATCCAGTTGCAGGCAAACAGGATCATCATTTTTCCCGAATCGAAGAACCAAAACTTTCTCAGCTACATTTTTTATTGCCTGATCCACTTCCTTTTTACTGGTTAGACTGGGCAGCAGGAAGCTCATCTTGATAGAAAATGACTCCAGACATCAAAAACTGTATCTAATTATTAAAAGAAATACTGTCAATATTGGTAAATCTGCCCCCATACCACACATGCAAAAAATAGTTGATTTGATAATGACCCCCAACTGTTTGTTTAAGCCAATCTAATCTACTAGGATATCTTTTTGTAAGGGCCAATGGAGAAACATACCACTCCAAAATACTAAAACTTAAATTTTAATACACAGCGCAGCTTTCTGCAAAAGAGAACAGCTTACTTACATACGTGTCTACTACTATATCATGGGCCTAGAGAATTGCACATAGTCTTAAAGATAATCAATTTTTAAAATATCATAAAAAGTTGTATGCACTAACATGCAACTGTTTGAGATTTAAGACCTATTAGATCAGTCAGTACAGCTCCTTACCAACGAAGAAGTGCCTTCTTCAGCACATTTTCTAGCTCTTTGTCTAGCCTAAAATAACTTATGTACAGGAGTAGCAATCATTTCCTTTACAGTACATCTTACTCAGAAAACAAGTTATTTCCCCCGATAATCAGCCTGAAGGGTCTTTTTCCTTAATCTCATTATTATATCCCCATGTACACCACGTACATAATCTCTCTACTTCACTGAAGCTTACACCAGTCAATATTTCTTGACTCTTCTCTAACGACCTCTCCCACTAGCCAGGCTTTGCTGTTCTGCTCCTTTAAATGCTTCCTCATGTCAGGCTTTCCAGATAATTTCTGCATCTGACGAAGTGGGTCTTTGCCCACGAAAGCTTATGCTCCTACACTTCAGTTAGTCTACAAGGTGCCGCAGGACTCCTCGCTGCTTTTGCAGATTCAGACTAACACGGCTCCACCCTCTGACAGATAATTTCTGTTGCTCTGCTCAGAAGGCCTCCCAAGCTGCCTGTGCGGATCTGGTGCCCAACAAAGGGAGGAATGAGATTCCGGCTGCAAGCACCGCAGAGAAAGGGGGTTTCACTGTCCCGTGGGCTTGAAGCCTTTTCAGGAGGGGTAGGAGGGATATTGACACCTGCTTCTTCCCCACTTGAGCCCCTGCACCAGCAGCCTCCCTCCACCACGACCCACTGCTGCCACCCCGGCACCTGCCCCGACCCCCAGCAGCCTCCTTGCCTTGCGGCAGAAGCTCGGACTCGGGCAGCGCTGTGGGACCCGGGGGAAGGTAGGAACCTAGATGTGCAGCCGCAGAACCCTGAGGAGCCGGACGGGAAAACACCGCGCACCTGGTGGAGAAACGGACGCATCCGACGCTTCCAGGATGGAACCGCGCACGCGCAAATCCCACCCTCTGATTGGCCACAAGCCGCGGCGCGTCATAGCGGCGAGAAATCAGGCGCGGCCGCTTGGATGAGGTTTTTTTTATCTTTTCCGCGTGAGCTGGCGGTGCGGCCGACACGGAGAATCCTCCGGCTGGAAGCGGAAGCGCGGCGCGTCGGAGGGTTCTCGAGGTGGGACTAGGACGGAGGAAAGGGCGCGAGGGACGTTTGACGCATGGTGCGTAGAGCCCAGCAGAACCGACGAGAGGCTCCCCCAGGGCCTGCAGCGACGTTGGGCTCGCGGGGCGGGGGGTGGGGCAGACACCGAACCGGCCGCTCGTTTGCTTTCTGAGTGGGGGGAGGGGAGCGTATAAAGCGGCTGCGGCCTAGTCCTGAGACCGACCCTGGGGGCTTTAGGGGAAATCATCTGCACTGAGGAATTTCCGGCAATGCCAGAGACGTGCTGTGAGATGTAAGGGTTCTATGTAATGGCTAAGCGTGGTGGGTTAAAAAGCATTTTTCCTGCGTTTTTCCAGGAGAATGGACAGTAAGTTGTTCATTTCCAACGGTCACTTTATTGCAGAGCTGCCTACAACTTGAGTTTCTGTACCTGTGTTAAACACGACATTCCGGAATTATTTGTACAAGTAAGACAGTTTTGCTTCTGAGAGACCTAGCACTGTTGAAAAGTGGTGGGTGTTTCCCGTCTTTTAAAAATAATAAAAATAATGTTTCTGTGTTCTTTAACGAGGCTCTTCTAAAAGGATTTGTGGAGCTTTCAGCAAAAGCGAGCCAGTAGCAGATACGCACAATATTGAACAAGCATAGAGGTAATGTGTCTTTCTTGGGGGGGAAAAACGTGGGTCAAATCTTTGCTTGATTTAAATCACTGGAGCCATGTCACATTAGATTACTTGAAGCTGGGTCCCATATGTTTTTTCTTAATGTATGTTCTCTCTTGTGCATTTTGAATTTTTGTACCTTAATGTCATATTTAACATATATAACTTGTTAAAGTCTCAGTTGGTTTTTTAATGTTCTGTGAATGAAATCTTTTTATTTTACTGTTCTGTAAACTGGCTTATGTCCTTTGCTTCAGTGTTATAAAATATTAACAGATTTATTGTGAGTTGTCCAACTTCCTCCTCTCTGTCTTTTTATAAACTTGAACTTCTGCTGCAGTCAGTCACAATATCTCAGAACAATGGCACATTTACAGAATATTTTGTTTTGTTAATTTGTTGCCCGTTTGGGTTGGTATTTTTGTTGTTTTGAGAAACTAGGTTTAATTTGTTTCTTTTCAGATAGGGTCACGTAAATTCCAGGTAGTATAGTAAATAAAGATTATAGCAAGTTTGTTTTTTTAGTGTGTAACTTATTTTGATTTGTAATTTGTTCAATTATTTTACATTTAACTCTGTAATATGTTAATTGGGTTTACTTAAGAGAGTGGTCATGGGGAAAAAAGATAAAAAGAGCTTAGTTTTTGCTTCCCTGATTTTGTTATATTTTAAAATTATAAGCATTAGTGATATCAGATTTCTAGAAAGACTACTAAAAAAGCAGAATGTGTTGTGCTTCTGTGCATGTATCTGTAAAAGCATCATGTGTGGTGGCTTGCATGCTTCCATCACAAAGCTTCCTAGTTATTAATTGCATATAAGAAGGATTGCAGTAAGAGGATTAGAACATATTTAAGTAGTTTAACATGGAATTATACATACTGCTGATTTACTACTGTTTCCTCTAGTAGCAACATCAACTTTATTTTCCTTTAGAGACATCAAAATTCTGATTTGATTTTTACTATCATATAAAGTTCTAAGAGGTAACTTCATGTTAGTCTGAAGATAAAAGATGGGAAGCATTTTGAGTTTCTCACATCTGTGCCTAATGATTTTGTTTTGTCTTGTTACCATTTTTGCAGATAACTGTTTGGACACACCACCTGAATATGATGTTTTTTAATATGCTTCTGAGAAACATTGTGAGACATTCTGTTTTTCCGGTTGCTATGCAGAAGGGGACAAAAAAAGACTTGTTTTTAACAACTCCTCAGAAGCCTTTTCCATGTAGAACACTGATTTTATCTCCTACCCCAAAGAAGCAGTTTTCATCCAACCCCACTGAGAAGCTAGATTTGGATGGGTGGAAAAATGTCATGAAATCTGGAATGCAAGAGGAAGTTAGTGAGACATCTGAGAGTGAGAAGGATTCCACTTTAGCTGCTACAAGGGAACTTGTGGAGATGTGGAGGCTAGCTGGAGTATTTGTTCCAGAAAATATCAGTGAAGAGGAGTTAAAGACCCTTATGGAATGTTCCACTAAATCATCCAAAAAGAAGTATTTAAAATTCTTAGCTTGCAAAGAAAAACTGAAGAAAGCTAGTAAAGCAAAGCAGGAAAAGCGAAGGGAAGCAAAGATGGAAAGGCTGGAAAAGGCTAAAGAAAATGGTACTAGTGAGATGAAGAATACTTTCTTATTGAAGTTTTGGTCCAGGAGTTTTGATAAGGTATATAACTGGAGGACTGCTCAGGCTATGATCTTTGGCCAGCCTTTAGTATTTGATATGGCTTATGAAAATTATATGTCACGTAGAGAAATGGAGAACACAGTAAATCAGCTAATGGAGACTGAAGGGTGGAATCGAAGAGCTGTAGATCCATTCCATTTACATTACTGTAATCTCAAAGTAGACAGCCCGTATCATAAAGAATTTGTCAAGAGGTATGGAGAGGCATGGGACAATCTACTTGTGACTGTTACAGAACAGTCCCACACAGATGTCTTTCCAAGAGACAAGCTCATCTACTTAACTGCTGACTCTCCTAATGTAATGAAGACATTTGAACATGATAAAATTTATATAGTTGGATCAATGGTTGACAGGAGTATACAGACTGGACTCTCTCTTGCCCATGCAAAACGCTTGAAATTAACAACTCAACGTCTTCCACTCGAGAGGTACTTGCAGTGGGAAATGGGTGCCAAAAATCTCACAATAGATCAAATGATTCGTATTTTATTAACTTTGAAAGACACTGGAGATTGGATGGAGGCTCTGAAATTTGTTCCAAAAAGAAAATACAAAGCTTTTTCAGATGAATCTGTATATTCAAAGTATAAAACTAACACACAGAGTAGAACAAAGATTTTTGAATTTAACGGTAGTCAGGAAAGGGTAAAGAATCCCTTTGCATCCTCCAGGAATTCTCTGCAAAGGCAGAAAAAATTGGTGGGTAACTGAAGAATCTTAAGGGAAAATTATGCTGCTAATAGACTGAAGCTTCCATTGACTTAAGTGCAAATTAGATGTGTAACTGAAGAGCAGAAGAGTAACTAGAAAGAACTGCTACCTGATAAAAGCTTTTGATGACCTTGGTATTGTAGCTATTTAAACAGAGGCTTAAAAAGACTGAGGGGGGAAGTGGAAATCCATGTAAGGAAAATCTATGATACTTAAATCTACAAATTGCACCATCAGAAAGTGTAATTAAATTTAATACTGTGGTGGTGGATACAACTTATTTTAAAGCCTTACTTGTTCAACACCAAATGCTGTAGTGTGCTTCATTAGTGGCAATGACTGTTAAAGCTACAGATTAACATATTTCCCACCTTTAAAAAGTCTTTAAATATTGAAGTTCTAGTTATCCATTGCCCGAGAGCAGTGAGAATGGGACAAACTTCCTACCTTGCCTACAACCGTTTAAACAGAAGTGTTATGACTTGAATGAGGGGACGAGTATACTTTTTACACTGCAATGAGGTCAAAAGTTAAATGTGAGGCCTGTTTACCTCCATATTTTAAACTGGATATCTTGATAGATGTGACTGAAGAAGATAATACTGATCAAAAGAATATAACTGTCTTATTGGTTCCTGCATCTTTAAAAATACAAATTAGAATCTATCTTAAAAAGCTACTGAGAGTAGAATCTATGAAGGACTATAAATGTTGGAATAATGAACATCATTGTCCCTATTTTAGGGTAAATCTGTACTGTGGAGCTATTTTGGGATACTGGAGTAGCTATTTTGATGTAGCCTGTTATTTTGAAATAGATTTCAAAATAATGGACAGCTTATTCTGACATCCCGGTAACCCTCATTCCATGAGGGTTAAGGGGAATTTCGGAATAGAGAGTAATTTCAAAATTTGGCACTGTGTACACAATGCAAAATTACAAAATAAGCTATTTCAAAATGATCTCAAAATACACTATGGAATTTGCATAGTGCAAATTGTGTAGCTTATTTTGAACTAAGGATGCTGTGTAGATGCACCCTTAGAGACTTAGAAAATCATGAGCAACACTGTAATTCCCAAAGCTATATGATGCACCTAAGAGAGATAAGGAGAGCAAGACCTAAAACAAACCTTCAGCAGGGTAAGGAAGAGCCACCTAATCCAGCCAAGAGTTGCTGACTAAACTAGTATATGATAAGCCCCACTCCTGTCTCCGAGAGATGCCTGGGTCAATTGAGCAATCCATAAACCAGGAGCTCAGATGGGGGAGAGGGCTGGAGGTGGTCTACCCTGTAGTTAGATCACTCAGTTGAGATGGGAGGGAAATTAACTTAGGTTCCACACATTTCCTCCCCCCCTCGCAAGGAGAAAGTACTTGTACAGGAATGTACTCTAACCCAGGGGTTCTCAAACTTTTTGATACCGTGACTCCCTAAAATGCTCATTGAATTTTTGTGACTCCCCCCTCCACCAAAGTCATTAAGAAAAAAAAAGGGGGGGGAGCCAAAGTTAAGCCCCCCCCCCAAAAATCCCCACTCACGATTGACTCACCCCTCCTGCAGTCACTGTGCTGCAGGAAAGCTGCCGGTGCCACGCTCTGCAGCTGTGGGAGGGAAGTGCACTTCTGTAATTACTGGAAGTGGCATGAAGAACACCAGGAAAGCCGGCAGCTGCAACCCCCCTGTAAGTTGGTCGCGACCCCCACTTTGAGAAACACTGCTCTAACCATTGAGCTGTAGGATAATCATATATGGGGTGCCCTCAATCTTCTGTACTCTGTATTAGGGATGTGAATGAGTAATTGGTTACACATAATCATCACCCTTACTGGATGATGCTTACCAGTAACCAGTTACCCAGTGCTCCGTGGCTATTCCAGCCCTGCCCCCAGGCACCCCCACGAGCAGGCAGGCATGGGGACTGAACTGAGCATGTCCCTCGGTGTGGCAAACACTGTGCTACAGAGACAGTTCTATTTTTCTCAGACCCAAAAATTATTCAATTATTTATCCACTGCAGAACAGTTAGAGGGCCAGAGAGCAGTGGGACATCATTTTCAAATCTTATCGAAACTATTGCTGCTTCAGACCTGTGTGTAAGCTTTGAAATCTTGCCTCTTTTTCATCAAGAAGCTGGTCCAATGAAAGAGCTCACCCTTCTTGTCTTTAATGTTGTGTCACCAACACAGGTACAATATCGCAACAGTCAACTTAAATGTACTTGTATATTTTTATAAGTAATGTAAAATTATTTGATCTTTTTCAGTTAGTGGATCTCTGGTTTTCAGAGATTTTTACTGTGTTCAGGAGAGCATATGATGTACAATCAATGTCACCATTACTGTATCTGTTCCCTTATCTTTTACCTGGTAGAGGAAAGAGACACTTATCAACTGACTGACTATCAACATCAGTTTAATCAGTTTTAAGAAATTTGTGGTTCTACAATTAGCTTGATTATCCACTGGTGTTTATGGTTTTAAATAATGTTTTCTTACTTCTAATATTTAAAACTGACTAGATTTGATGTTGATGGTCCTTTTTGTTTTACTCTGTATTTAAAAAAATGAAAAAGAATAGAATACAGGCAGTCCCCGAGTTACGTGGATCCGACTTATGTCCTCCTGGGGCGAGAAAAGCTGCTCCGCGTCTCCCTGGTCTGCTGGGGGGGGGGGGGCGGAGGGGTGGGAAGGGCCCCCCCGCC